GGGTTGTCATTGTGTTCTGAGCACTCATGGCTGGACAGAGTATGGGAGGACTCTCTCTGGCTGGGGCGATTCTGGTCCCTGAATGTGTTTCCCTCTCAGCATGCCCTTGCTGCAGCCCACACCTCCCAGCCTCACCGGGGCTGCTGCTAGACTTTTCTGCAGAGTGGTTCCTGAGCTGGAAGGTGTGCCAGATCGTAATGTTCCTCATTAAGCAGTGACTGAGAATTCCGAGCATCCTGGCCCAGCTGGAGAGCCAGAACTGAGGGAGCAATGGTGGCTGGGAGTACTGCTGTCTATTAAGTCCTGTACACACCACTCTCCGTCCTCCATCTGGACTCCCTCCTGGGACTGCTGAGGGGCCAGTGTGCTGTTTGGTAGCCAGCCACCTGTTAGGGACATGTTCCTCTTGGGTCCCAAGGCAGGCAGCCCGAGTTTTCACCCCATCTTTGCTCATCAGAGCCCACATTCCTGCTATCATCCAGTTATTAGGAAGGCAATTTGTTTGATGCCAGCCAAACACCCAACTGGGTTTCAATAGAGAGGGCTGCTCAGAGTGGCATGGGAGCAGGCTGCTAGATGGGTCTTAGTGAGTTGGTGAGCACCTGCCGCATATCACACCTCTGACTGCAGAGAGACGCTGTGGGGAAAGAGGAAGGGGTGCCAAGGGAGAGGGGACCTCATTCCCGCCTGTCCTCCTGGCCACTAACACGTTGAGTGTGTCAGAGGATCCAGTGTGAGTTGGATCTATGGTGTGGAGTGGCTGGTTGGTGTCTTGCATTCGCACGTCTTAGAAGGGTACTCTGCGAAAGGATAGGGACCAAGTAGAACTAGCCCGCCTGTCGGACTTCTCTGCGTGCTACCTGCTGTGATATGTGGCTGTTGGGTGTCCTTGAGTCTGTCCTGACATCCAGCGATCCTGTGTACAAATGGAATAAAGTGCTGCCACGTCCCGCACGCTCCTCGCAATCCTTGCCTCGTTTGAGCCCATGGCTGCAGTCATTGCACCGATTCATCTCACCGAGGGTCTTCCTCCGTTTTGCTCTTTACTTAACAAAGCAGGATGTCCTTCCCCAGGGACTGGTCCTCTGATGACATGTATGTAAGAGGAAGTCTCGCCATCTCCCCATCACTTGGCCTGTGCTTCTTCCAAGACAGGTTGGTTCATTTTTCACCAACACCATATTTCAAGTGTCCTAACAGCCGTATCGGACAGAGGACCGCTGCCACCACAGGGGTTCCACAGCCATAAACACAGGAGCAAACTACCCACGATTCTTCACCTTGGAGTGGCTGGTAGGTTTGAACTGCCTACCTTTTGGGTTAGAAGCTAAGCACTGAAGCACAATACTACAAGGACTTCTTTAAATGGGATCTGAGGGTCATGATGTCCTTGTCTACTGATGAAGCCAGTCCAGAATGACTCAATGATATGAACAACCAGATGGAAACTGGCTGAAGCTGCTGCTGATAGTACATCCCCAGAATCCCAAGGGACGGGGACATTTTCTGAGCAAGATTCATTTATTAATTTATTTCATTACAACTGATTCGGTAAATATCTAGTAGACTGTAGGTGGGAATGTTAGCATCATGAAGGCGCATGGTCCAGATGGAAGGATCGCTTTCTCCCTACTTAGCGATCACACAGGGTGTCAGTACCCAAGGAAATTTCAGCGATCCAGGATCTAGTCTGTTACTGTCTCAGAGTCTATTGACTTAATAAGGTTCCCAGGGACTAGAGGTTCAAGTCCCCTACCTGACAGTCACACCCTCTTCTCCACAGCAAATCCCCGGGAAGGTGAGTTTTCATTAGAAGGAAGATGAGCTGTGATTCAGAGCGCTGATCTAAAGACAGACTGATGTTCACTACCCCCTTGCCTCTTACCAGCTCTGTGCAGGGTGGCAACCGACTCGACTTCTCTGAGTGCCTGTCTTCTCATCTCCAAATGAGGTTCACACACCCATCTCACGGAGGTGTGGCGGAAATGAAGGGAGATCATTCCCCCTAAGCGCGTCCTAGGCAGTCACTGAGGAAGCCCACACTTGTTAGTGTTAATCCTTAGCTAGTTGATTAGTTACTTAGTTAACTAACAAGGTGGTTAACACTTGTTAGTGTTAATTCTTAGCGTAGTCTCCAGTGATCAGAAGCTCATGGGCCATGAATCCAATGCCTATTTACTATGAGCTTTTTGGATTGAACAACCAGTTCCTGACACCGCAGATGTCTTCTATCTACTTTGATGCTCTAAGGCTAGGCTAACGGTTTTATTTTTTTTACAGTGAAACATCCCCCCCCCCATCACATCTTAGATGGATTCTTAACAGCTGAAAATGACAAGGAGGAGCTGAGCTGATTGAAGCTGGAATGGGGCCAGAGACCTCTCTGGGGCCTCCCTTGTCTACTTTTTGAAGGAATCTTTGGGCCTGCCAAGAAACACCATTTGAGAATCATGGCTCTTAAGTTGGCCCAAATCCCATCTAGTCCTAACGATTTCCCCAGTAGGGTAGGGCAATTGTGGAGGCCTCTGCTTCCTAAACACAGTCCCCTTCTAGTCTGGCTTTCCTAGGGTCACCTTGATTGGAGTGTTTGCTGTTCCCAGGCTCTTCAATGACACATTTACAGTCTTTGAGGGCCACCCCCCTCACCCCCGTAGGTGTCGAATCACATTCAGTTGTGTGTTGACTGTTCTAGTTCAATTCAGAGAAGCTCTTTCTATTTCCTAGGTCTTGTCCAGCCTGAAGAAATGACATTTAACTTCTATTGTCCAGAAAGTCTATTCATCTGAATAAATCCATAAATCAGGAACAATGCCTCGTCATAGTCTGTGCCCTGGATTTTGTTTGGAAAATGAGTCATGGTGGTTTGGGTACCGAAATTGAGCAAAGTCAGGCCAAAGCCTCGGCCTCTCTGTCCGCACCAGTCACAGGGACGCAGAGGCCACGTCTCAGGGAAGACTGCTTGTCTCCTCTCGCCAGCTTGCTTTCCTGAGCCTTCCGCCTCTGAAAGCTACCTTGGACAGTTCTAGTTTTCCCAGTAACAGCTGTCTGGAGATGCAATTCACTTGTCACCCAATTTATCCACTTAGAGAGTACAGCCCAGTGTTCTTTATTATACTCACAGTTGGGTAACTATCACCACCACATCGAGTTCAGAACTTTTGCATCCTGACTAAAAAACAAAACAACTCCTCACCCCTTAGCGGTCACTCTCCATTTCTCTGCAAACCCTTACCCCAGTCCGAAGCAACTCCCAATCTATTTTCTACGTCTCTGAATTTTCCTAGCCCAGAACATTTCATGTAAATGGAATCATACGATGTGTGGTCTCTTGTGACTGGCTTCTTTCACTTGACGTAATGTTTTCAAGGTTGAAAACATGTTGTAGCATGTGTTTGTGGTTTAGCATGTCTCAGTGTTCTTTTTATTGCCCAATAATATTGCATTGTATGAATATGCCACATTTTGTTTATCCATTCATCAGTTGATAGACATTTTGGGTGGTTCATAATTTTTGACTGTTAAGAATCGTACTGCTTTGGACATTTTTGCATAATTTTTGTATGGAGATATTTATTTTTCTAACTCCTTCTTTTCCATAACAAAAAACCAAACTCACTGCCATTGAGTTACTTCTGACTCATAGTGACGCTTTAGGACAGAGTAGAACTGCCCCTGTGGGTTTCGGAGACTGTAACTCTTTGTGAGACTAGAAAGCCTCGTTTTACTCCTGCTGAGCAGTTGCCGTGTTTGAACTGCTGACCATGTAGTTAGCAGCGCAATGCTTAACCAGGGCACCTGATCAATAGGTACCAGTTATTGAGTGCTCGTCGTGTGCCAGGGACTATGCTGAGCACTTTCCACTTCGTATCCTCTGGAGTCCTCCCTATAAGCCCAAGGGGTAGACTGTCTTCCCATTTACAAGTGACGGCTCTGGGCTGGGGTCCCACGCCTAATAAGCAATAGAGCTGGGATTATAATCCAGGTCCGTATGATGCCAAGCACTTACCCTTAATACTGCTTCCAGAAATTGGACAGCTATTAGTACTATGCTACTCTTTCCTTCTGGCATGCTGATTAAGTCTTTATCAGGGCCACTTACCTGTATTATCTTGTAAAGTCTCCATATCAACCCTGGGAGGTTGTCTAGTTCCTGTACTCAGTGAGGAAGATCAGAGGACCCTTGGGGGGACTCACCAGTGTCTGAGCCTGGAGAGCGAGCCTTCTTCCCTCATAGGCCTTCCTCCAAAGCCTTCCCCCACCTTGCAGTGCCCTGTGGCCTCCTCTCCCTCATACCCCCTTTAGCTGTCCCCCATGTCAGAGAGAGTTTCTTATAGCCCTGAACACTGTTTTTGAAGGAGTCTGTGCACACGTGTGCGTTTCTGAGTGCACGCAGACACATACTCAAAGGTAGGGGGGAATTAACTAGCAAGCGCAGTGTGTTCTGCTTTGCACTGAGCAAGGAATGCACAGGCTTGTTTGTGTTTACTCTGTGGAGAGCAGTTTCACGTGGGTTTGACCACCTCTATGATGTGGTGGGGGGCAGGTGAAATGTATGATCAGGTAATGCCGCCTGGGAACAAGTGTGCCGGTGCCGGTGCCCTGGGCTACATGTTGGGCTGAAAACTTCACGGGCAGCAGTTCAAAAAGACTAACTGCTCCCAGGGGAGAAAGACCAGGCTTTCCACTCCCGTCAAGAGTCACAGTCTGGGGACCCCACGGGCCCTTCTCCTCTGTCCTGCAGAGTTGCTATGAGTCGGAATCGAACTGATGGCTTGAGTTTAAATCGAGAGAGCACCTCCAGTGGCCTGCTGTGACATTACAGGGCTCCTGCAGTGGTTAGTGACGCTAGAATTCGCCTTGTTACAATCACAGACTCTTACTTTGCTTCGGGGGTCAGTTTTGAAGATGGCAGGGTGGAGAGGGCTGTGGACGAGGAAGGGCATAGTGGAGGGAGGCTGGACAGAGTAACCATCCATCCCCATGTGTTTGCCTGCCCACAGCGGCTATCCTGGACGACCCCATGGAGTGCAGCAGAGGGGAGAGACTTTCCATCACCCTGGCCAAGAACCGCATCAACCGTGCTCCTGAGAGGCTGGGCAAGGCCAAGGTCGAAGTGGACATCTTTGAGCTTCTCAGAGACAGCGAGTACGAGACTGCAGAAACCAGTACGTAGAGTGGGCAGGGATGCCCTCCGCTTCCCTTGCTGGTGAGGAGGGGCTGGTGGTATGAGCTGCACCCATTGCTAGACCTCTGGTGCCGGTATTCCCAGTGGAGAGACATGTACCAGGAGGCCCGATGGGATTCTTCTCCCGGATGAGAATCCCAGGCCTGGTGGTGAATCACATATAGAGCAGTTACAGATAAGGCTTCTGGGTACCCACTCATTCATTCGTCATCCATGTATTCATCTCCTTGGGTGAAATCTGGTACCTGGTTCAGAAAGGAGAGCTGCCGCCACCCCACAGGAAGCTTCACATCTGACTGCTTGTCATGCTTTCTTAGGCTGGAGGCAGAGCTGTGGACTTGGGATGGAATCTGACCACTCGCTCTCTGGGTAACCTTGGACAAGTCCCTTTACTCTCTCCGAACCTCAGTTTCTTCATCTTAGAGATGGAAATGTCAAGCTCTGCCTCACCAATCTTGAGAGTTATTATAAGAGTTCAACAACTTAGAGTATAGACAACCCGTTGTGAATGGCTTTATAGAAAGACACGTATGTGTCACTCAATGCGCGTGGACTGAGCCCTGCACTAAAGTCTCACTGCAGCCCGAGAGTCAAATGTTATTGCAGTCACTGTACAAAAGAAAGTGAGGTTCACAGACATTGAAGAACTTACTCAATCACAGAGCTCGTTAGTGGTCGAGATGGAGTGGACCCTGAATTCGAGTTGTCAGCCTTAGTGCAGTGCTCAATTCATGAAACGTCTACTGGAACCTTCTGGCGTGTCACTTGTGTTACTTTGGTGACTGCAGCAGAAGCTTCCCAGTTGCAGGTCTGGTGGTTGATAGTTAAGATGGAAACAAACAGCTTTGGCTCAGAGAAGAAGAATTCCCTCAGGCCAAAGAGGTGATCAAACTGAAACACCCAATTCACTGCCACTGAGGCATTTCTGACTCATAGCAACCCTATCGGACTGCCCCTGTGGATTTACAGGACTGTAACTCTGTACAGGAGTAGAAAGTCTCAACTTTCTCCTCTCCAGGACGTAGTGGTTTAGAACAGCTGATCTTGTGGTTAGCAGCGCAACATTTAACCATCAGGGTTCCTAAAGAGGTGTTGTTGTTGTTGTTGTCAGGTGCCATCGAGCCAGTCTGACCCATAGCTACCCGGTGCACAATGGAATGAAGTACTGCGCGCTGCTTCACCATTCTCACCGTTGTAAGTTTGGGTCCATCATCACAGCCACTGTGTGACCACATCTCTTCTCTTTCACTGCCCCTCCACGTTACCCAGCATGATATCCTTCAGGGACTCGTCTCTCCTGGCAACGTGTCCAAAGTGCGTAAGATGAAGTCTCGCCATCCTTGCCTCTAAAGAGCATTCTGACTGTACTTCTTCCAACACAGATCAGCCTGTCCTTTTAAAAGACCATGGTACTTTCAATATCCTTCTCTGGCCCCACAATTCAAATGCATACATTTTCTTCCTGATTCAAGTCCAAGTTTCAGATTCATATGAGGCAACTGAAAATATCATGGCTTGTGTTAGGCACACCTTAGTTCTCAAAGTAATATTCTTGATTTTCAATACTCTAAAGAGGTCTTAGGCAGCAGATTTATTTAATGGAATGCATCTTTTGATCTTTTGATTGCTGCTTCCATGAGCATTGATTGTAGACCCAAGCAAGCCAACATTCAGGGCATCTTCAAACTTTTCTCATTTATCATGATGCTATTTATTGGTCCAGTTGTGAGACTTTTGTTCTTTGAGTCATCATTATTGAAGGCTGGAATCCTTGATCTTCATCAACAAATGCTTCAAGTCCTCCCCACTTTCAGCAAGCAAGATCGTGTCACATGGGTATCACAGGTTGTTAATTGTTGTTGATCAGCCTTCCTCCGATCCGGATTCCACACTCTTCTTCATAGAATCCAGCTTCTCTGATGATTTGCTCAGTCTACAGATTGAATACGTATGATGAGAGGATGCAGCCTGACGCACACGTTTCCTGATTGTAAACCAGACAGTATTCCCTATTCTGTCTGCACAACTACATCTTGATCCACGTACAGGTTCCGCAAGAGACATGAAGTGTTTTGGAATTCCTGTTCTTCTCAAAGGTATCCGTAGTTTGCTGTGATCCACATAGTCGAATGCCTTAGCATAGTCAGTAAAACACAAGTAAACAGCTTTCTGGTATTCTCTGCTTTGAGCCCCAATCCATCTGACATAGGGTATTTTGAATATCCCTTACTTCACGTCCTCTTCTGAATCCAGCCTGAACCTCTGGCCAATGTACTCCTGCAACTGTTGTTGGGTGATCTTCAGCAGAATTTACTTCCTGTAATATCCATGACAGTGTCCTATCATTTGAGTATTCTGTTGGCTTACTTTTCTTTGGAGTGGGCACAAATAAGGATCTCTTCCCGTCATTGGCCAAGTAGCTGTCTTCCAAATTTCCTGGCATAGAGGATTAAGTGCTTCATCAGCTTGTTGAAACCCTTTAATTGATTTTCATCAATTCCTGGAGCCTTGTTTTTGGCTAATGCTTTTAGCGCAACTTGAAGTTCTTCCGTCTGCACTATTGCCTTTTGCTCATATGCTACCTCCTGAAATGATAGAATGTTGACTAGTGTTTTGTTTTGTTTTTAGTACAATGACTCTGTGTCTCCTTTCTATCTTCTTTTGATCCTTCCTCCATCATTCAATATTTTGCCCATAGAATCTTTTAATATTGCAACTTGAGGCTTGAGTTTTCTCTTTCATTCTAAAATGTGCTACATGTGTACTTCCTTTTGGGTTTTCTAACTCTATATCTGTGCCTATTTCATTACTTGCATTTCATTATTATCTCTGCCCATTTCATAATATTGCCTTTGTCTTCTCAAGCTGCCCTTAGAAATCTTCTGTTCAGCTCTTTGACTTCCTCATTTCTTCCCTTTGCCTTAGCTGCTGTGTGATTAGACTTCAGAGTTTCTTCTGACATTGACATTGATCTTTTCTTTCTTTCCTGTATTAAAAGAGACCTTTTGCTTTCTTCATGAATGATTTCTTGATGTCCTTCTACAGCTCATCAGGTCTTCTGTCATTAGTGTTCAATGCAGCAAATCTTGAGATTTTCTTGAAAGCAAGTAGGGTATACTCAAGTATTTTGGATCTTGTGGGCTTGTTTTAATTTTATTCAGCATCAACCTGGATTTACATATGAACAATTGGTGGTCTATCCCATAGTCAACCCTTGGCCTGGTCTTAGTTGCTAATACCCTGTTTCCCCGAAAGTAAGACATCCCCCCGAAAATAAGACCTACTTACAGTTTTGCCTCTCACTGAAATATAAGGCATCCCCTTGAAAATAAGGCCTCCCGGAAAATAAGGCCCCCCAAAAGTTACTGTAACTCTGGACTCTGGACTGTAGTGGCGGGCTCCGCCATGCAGCTTACTGTTGGCCACAGCACAGCCAGAGCAGACAAGAAGTGCGAGGTCTCTTTTAATAAAACAATAAGCAATAAATGTGTACCGTATTCTTCATGGAAAAATAAGACATCCCCTGAAAATAAGGCCTAGTGCATCTTTGGGAGCAAAAATTAGCATAAGACACCATCTTCTTTTCGGGGAAACAGGGTAGTTTGCTTCCCACAGATGTAGGCAATATATTTCTGTGTGTTCCCTCCGGAGAAGTCTAGTGTATAGTTGCTGTTTGTGTTTTTGAAAAAAATATTTGATATAAACAAATCATTGGTCTGGCAAAATTCTATCATGTGATCTCCAGCTTCATTGCTATCACCGAGATCATAGATTCCAATGATGGTTCCTTCCTCTTTGTTTCCAACTTTTGCATTCCAGTCTCCAGTAATGATCGATGCATGTTGATTGCATGTTTGATCAGTTCAGATGGAAGATATTGGTAGAATTGTTCAACTTTTCTGTTGATAGCTCTAATGGTTGGTGCATAAATTTGCATAATAGTTGTGCTGATTGGATTTCATCAAATGCAGATACATATAGCCCTATTACAGACAGCATTGGCAGTCTGGTACTTTCAATATTCTTTGACAGCACCATAACCCACGTCCATCAGTTCTTCTGCAGTCTTCCGTCTCTAACTTTCATATGCGTATGAGACTACTGAAAATACCCTGGCTAGGGTAAGGCGCACCTTAGTCCTCAAAATGACATCACTGCTCTTCCACACTTTCGTGCGGACCTTCATTCATTCCGCAGCTTTCATGCAGGCTGAAGGAGACAAGCAGGGTGTTTCACAGACCCCGCGAGGGCAGAGGGAGGAATACCGCAGCTGCAGAGTCTCCGTCTCACAGCTCCGTTAATGGTCGCCAGGTACCGGACCCTTGCATTTCCCCTTCTGCCAGTTTGCTTTCCCTGACTTACTCATCACCCACCTGTTCCATATTGTCCACACAAGCCCTACTGACACTTTGCTTAGTCAAAGGAAATCAATCTTACAGCGCTTTGACTTGATGTCAGACATGATTCAGGATACCAGGCAGAAAGCACGGCAGACCTGGTCCCTGGCCTGGGTGACTTGCAGTGTCTCTTTAGTGTGCAGCTTGGTTCCATGCCTCTTGGATTCTGGAGGTTCGGGGTCTGATTCAGCTCATCTTGCTGAGGCAGCTCTTGTAAGTTTCATATTTTAATCAGCCTAACAGCAACCTTGGATGGACTGTCCACTATTGGTGCAATAGCCGAGGCTTAGGCTGGGCTTCTACCTTACAGAGTAGAAGAATAGAATTGAGGCCAGTAGGACCTATGGGCAGAGATTGCTCCAGACCAGGATACCCAGAAATAGGCATTCACTCATGTATTCCATTAGTCACTAAATAGTTAGCCGAGTATACTCTTTTCCTGAGCAATAGAACTCAACAAGCCGAGTGCTCACAGAGCACAGATACTAGCATAGTAATTTAGAGATACGGGTTTCCCAGGTTATTCCAAAGAAAATTAGAAATTGGAAGAATCCCTTCTTAGGAATCTTCTAGTCCAGCCTGCAGTGTGTATTTGGTCAGGAGAATAGATTTCAGACAAGGGTCCAGATTTCTAAAGGGTTCTTTAGCTCATTTTTTGAAAAGCCAGCTCCCCCTTCCCTTTCTTGAGGGGATTCCTAGGAGTACCGGAGTGCAGCTTCGCCCACTGTGGATGGGGGGACCATTAGCAGATGTAAGTTTCCTCTCTCCATGACCCGTACAGCCTGGCTGAGGAAAGTCACAACAGCTAAAACATTGGGCCAGATGAGCCACGGGAATAAAAGAAACTGATATCTGTATTCCAGATTGCTGAGCTTTGAAGCATCTTTATAATGTCTTTCTGTGAGCCGCCAAGTATATTATTAGCAAGTGGCCCTCGGTTCAGATTTCATACCTCAATGTGTTTGAGGCATGAATGGAATTTGTGAGAGAAGAGAGTTTCTGGATCTTTTTTATCCCAAAGGCTTTTCTTCTGAAGCAGAGCTGCTTTCCTGCTCTGGGTTTTCAACACCATCTACGTAGTTCCTAGAAATGTTCCAGCCCAGCCCTCTCCCTCCCAAAGTGAGGGTGGGTGGATAGTGGGTTAGCACAGTGACATCACTAGGGGGTCAGTGCAGGGGAGGGGGGGGGGCGGGGGGCAGACTGCGCCAGGTGACACTAGCAGAGGAGCTGGCACCAAATAACAGCCTATACAATTTTTTGTGCCGTATGTCAGTAGAAATGCATTACTTTTTATTAAAGCATTCTTGTAGCTAGTTATAACAACAAAAACATTTTGCATAAGCCCAGCTAAAACGCTGTGCTAGTTTCTATTTTGAACACTGTAATGCAATCTGGTGGCACTGTGGGTACTAAACACAACATCAGCAGTTCAAACTCACCGTTCACTCCTCAGGTGAAAGATGAGGCTGTCTGTTCCCGTAAAGGTTTACAGCCTCAGACGCCCAGGAAGGTACTTGTGCTCTCTTTGAGAGGGTCAATATGGGTCAGAATTTACTCGATGGCAGTGAAATGGAGTTCTTTCTTGTTCTGGGAGTGCACGCTGGTCAGAGCTGTCATTATTACCCAATTACAGTGATACTTCAATCAGGAGGCTTTGTCTGTACGCACTACCCTCGATTAGCAATGCTATTTTCCTGCCAATGTTTTTACAGTGGCTGGTTTTGTCAAATTTTCTGGTGTTT